CGATATAATTAAATGGAAATCAAACTGTTTAGTGGGTGCTCGCGCTCGGGTCGCCTGTTTTTAATTTACCTTTCAAGTGACTGACCACCACGGAGTTCTTAATATCCGTGCAGCCGGGCTGCTCCCTGCCGCCGTTTGGGAAAAAGTCGATATGCCCGATCGGTTTAAGTAGGCCGAAGCCGTCCATGAAGTCCTGAGAGCCGTCGGTGTGAACGACATCGACGAGACGGGCGTCGGTCGCGTCCAATTTTCTCGTTTTCTCCCTGAAGAGGTGACGCCGGAAGAAGGGCGACGCCGGGTCGAGGCCTGTTATGCGACCCAGAAGCAGGCTCCTCTCCTTCAACACCTCCGAGGCGCAGCCGGCCACGTGCGCGCCCAGACTGAATCCGATCACGTAAATGTCGGCGGGATCGACTCCCAAGTTGACAGCGTCTAGAAGTACCAAGGCCAATTGCCGGCCGACCAGTTCGCTATTCGCCACCGCAGCTCCGTAACTGGTGCCCGCCCCCTTCGTCCAGTCCAGGATGATGACGTTCGCGTCTTCCTGGGGGATAGAGCTTTAAAGATCCTACAACAATTTCTCAATGCCGGCCGGGAGATCTTGTAATGATAAAGCGGGGAAAAAGATGTTCGGTTAAACTGTTAAAACTGCCGAGGAATTACAATATCGAGTAGGAAATTTATGCCGTGTATTGCGCCGACGTCGCTTCCGCTGCCCTTGAAACCGTGTATCAGCACTCTGAGGGGCTTGCTGACGTTGAACCGAGAATGTGCGATGGACTTTTGGTTGTCCCCGTACTGCAGGGGTTCCGGATTTCGCCGGTCCGCGCGCGTATAGAGGAGGAACCTGGTTTGGATCACGCTAGGGTGCTCGGGCGGTCGTTTTATCGATAAATGCTGCGGCGGATCCGCGAAGCAACCAAGTAGATCTGAAATATTCGACGCGACGATTCATTTCAAAATATGTCCAAGCTCCGGAAAATTAACTCTTACACTTTATCCGACTTGAAAATTGCTTTTCTCACTGTTTCAACATGTTGACGTGTTAAAAGGAAACAATGAAAAGTCATTTAACTATTTAATTAAATATATTTGGAGGGAAATCGAATTGTAATGCGAATGTCAATTTATATATTAAATTTTTTACGTATTTGAATTTCAAATTATACTCTGGATAAAATCGGTGCTGCCTTACCGTAACAAACTTTCGATTTTTCCTCGCGAGAGATAGCGATCCGTCTTAGCACAGCGCGATTCCGCACCGCGAGAAGTTTCACTGCAAAGAAATATGCGGCATCACCTTGGCGGGAGAAGTCCTGATAACGGATCTTCAATCGCGATACCGTACACAACCGCGGGCGTTATCGATCAATGTTCCCTTTGCCCGATCGCCCCACTTGTGCACTTTACTTTCTCCCGTAGCGGTAAATTATTCCGTACAGCATCGCTTCAGTACGATTTGCGCGCCGGCGGACGTTATAGTCCCCGTGCTCGCATAATTGAGATTTTCAGTCTATCATAACATTGCAGTATTGCGTCATGCGATCCCATCGCGCTAGTCGCGCTGTGAAAGTGTGCCGTATGTAAATGCGACCTTAAGGTGCGAAGTACCGGTATGTTTCACGTGAGAATATTTGTTTCGTGTGCACAAGGCGAGCGCGTGTGGCGATCTTTCTCGTATCTCCGAATGGTGTTTCGCGACGGAAAAAATTTTAATTCTGACGTTTGTCACACATGCGTGCGCGTCACGGCGGGCTACGGTAGTTGCGTAACAAATATCGGTTATATATTATACTGGCTACCAGTATAAAGATTAACAAACCACCATAAGCGCGGCTGTGCGTGAAGATTCGCAGTTGCGCGATACATTTATACATCGGTGTACTAAAGTAATATTACATTTCGTCGGTAGAATCATTTTCTTAGAAAAACGTACAAAAACAATTGACAAATATGCAACGAAATCTCGCGAGTTGCATCGGTCTTACGGCGAATTCGATTGCTCGCACCAGTGCGCACCGAGTGCACACTAAGGCCGGTTCATAGTCAATTTTTATACTTAACTTTGTCTTAAATACACGTTCAAAGAGTATTTAGCCGAAACAATGATCCGCGTGGATGCCGTACACTGAGAAAAAAATTTTCTTAATTTTAGAAAATATATTTACTAAAATTAGATTTACTTGATTTAAATAAATAATGTTTAAAATGAAAAGTTTTTCTCTTTATTATAATAAATCAAAACATTAAAATTAAAAAATGATTTCTTATTGAAACATTTGTTTAAATCTAATTCAGATTTGCTACATTACAGTACAGTACTTGTTGAAATGTAGTAAAGAACTTTTTTAAATGTAGAATCTTGATATTTTAATTTTATAAAAACCATTTTAGTACATATTTCTTTAAATTCAGTTTTTCAAATGTGCAAAAATAGTAAATCAGTTACTTATAAAAAGTATATACATTTTAAAAACACTTTATTACATTGTAGAAAATGTTTACTTAAGTAAAACTAATATATCCGATAAAGACGCAAAAACAATTTTATTTATATTGTATTATAGTAAACATTTCTTAAATTTAAAACTACATTTTCTTTTGTTTGGTGCTGCCACTAGATGGCCGCCGAACTCGTAAGTAAAATCGTGGCAGCTATGGTATATGTATAAGCAACCGCATCAGCAGACGCAGTTTAACCATTTAATGGTCTATTTTTATTATGGCTGAACATAGTGTACTAATTCAGTGTTTATCTTTTTTCTTTTAATGAAGGGAAAATTCTAATGTAGAGGGAGAAAGATGTATAAATATACATTTGTTTCACATATTTTCTATCAAACGATAATGTTGTTTGAATGAAACAATAATATCGTTTAGATTAAAAAGAATATTCCTTTCGTTTCAAACAAATATTTTATTTCTGACAAAGATATATATTATTTCAAATATCAAATTTGTTTGGATACAACCAAATTTATTAAATCCAAAGAAATCGTTTTCTCTGTGTACTAGTTCTTCATTATATTTAACAAAATATTTATTATAATTGGTAAACTATTTAATTTATGGAAACGACGATTTTCTTTGTATGAGTAAATTAAATTGGAAAAGTAGAAAATAAACATTACAAATTAATAAACATTAACTGCTTTCCATAAAATAGTTTTGATAATTAGTAAACGATTCATTTATTGATAGAATCATTTTCTATAAATGAACAATATGATTGCTTATTTTAAAAAAATGCGTTCACAGTTGTATGCAAACACATGGTTTGCTAAAACTAAAGAAATTTTTTTTCTATCTAGTAAATTTTTTTCTCAGTGTACGGATCATTTTACTGGCTATGAAATATTTCAACGAGTATTCAAGACAATTCTCATATGCAATAGAATTGACCGTAAACAAGCCTTAGTGTGCACTCAGTGCGCACTAGTGCAGGCAACCGAATTCGCTATTAGATACGAGAAGGAAAAATTGCGACAACTCTTTTATCAGCGCGATTTCCACTCCGCGAACGCGATTGTCATTTCGATTGTTACGATATAACAGTCCTGAGCGTCGTATTTGTTATACTCACCGGGCTGCAATTTTCCGGCGAACGACGTGGCGGTAGCAATTATCATCAGCAAAGCAAGTAGAACGCGACGAATGTCGGCTGACTGCATCTTGCCACTGAATTGTCGAAACTTCGCGTCCTTGGTTGAGATGGTCGCATTCCGCCTCTTCTTCGCCTTCTCCACCTCCTCCCGTGCTTTCTTCCGTTCTTCCCGTTTCTCTTGTCCCGGCGAAACACTTGGCGTTTCTGCCGCGATCGGCACGGCACGCTTTTTGTCCGCCAGACTCACCCAGTGACAGCCTCCACCTAACCGTAGAAAGCGTACCTTCTATGAGCAGCCTTCTTTTTGCGCAACCACCTTTCCGCTTGCCAGAGCCTGACGACTGCTCCAACATTAGTCTAAGTTCACTTCCAATTCGCGACAGGGAAATTCGTCATTTCGCGTGTGTTTCTCTTTTGTTCCACTTACGTCAGGTATTTTCTCTGCTGTTTTTTTTTTCGTATCTTTTAAGATATCAGAAGATTTAAAAAAAAAGTCAGGTCAGTTTTATAATTTAACGAATCTGGAGAATCTTTCTTTCTTTCTCTCGTTCGAAAATTAATTTCTCACGTGATCCGCCGAATAAAAATATGCCGAATTTGCATACGTGTGTTTCCGGGTGACGATCGCCTATCGGTTAAAGTTTAGCGACATTGACGCGACACTTTCGCCAAACAGCCGCGACTGCCTTGACATGATGTAACGATGTCGTGCCGTCCTCCGGTATAGACAGAAACCGCGTGCGCCGAGTTAAACGTGCGTCGATGCATCGCTTTCACTCAAATAAATTATATGCGACGTGTTTTTCTCGTGTAAAACCCTGACATCGGGCGAAAACAGGAAAACAGGTTGATTTGTTCCATTTGTGGTCTAGAGAAGAAACGGGTTGGATGAGCGTGCAATTCTTTCCACGGTGAATATCCTGAATTATCGTCGAGTGATTAATGTACGATTAATACGTTACAAAATACACATACGTGTTTCTGATAGAAACACCTATTTCACGGAACGGTACGGCCAATTTTCTTGGGCTTTATTTACCCGGAGACCAGCCGAGTGAGTTTCGCGATCATGCAAGAGTACACACAAATTACATAAACCGAAAGCAAGTTAATTATAAAATTACGACCGTCTCGGTTACTTCTTGTTTACGTCGATTTTCCACATTTACATCATTTCAAAGCAACCACGCGTAAAAGTTGACCCCTGCCTCTTTCACAACAATTAGCTCGGACCATGGGTGTGAAAACGGCTATATAAATCGTGAAATACTTTCACTTTAATAAACGTGCAAAGAAATAACGAAATAGAGATTATATTCATCAAGCTTATTAGTCGACAACTTATTACTGGCAACTTAAAGAGATTTCTATGTTTACACTGTTATTCTTTAGAATTATTAATTTCTTTGCACTCCTCGCAATAATAATTTGATTTGTCAACGTCGACCGAAGTTTACTTATTTTTGATTTTATACATTTTTTACTCAAATTCGACCATCGACCGTCGCGCTTCCACTTGAGTCTCACGCTGAAATCTGGCCGAGGCGCGCACAGACGTAGATGATTACTTATAATATATTTATTTGTAATGTTTTATTATATTATTATTCTTTACATTTCTCGCAAT